CCCCTGACGACCACAGCCCCACCCCTGACGACCACAGCCCCACCCCTGACGAGCATGGCAGTCCTCCCAAGACCCACTACTCCACCCACGACACCCACTTCTGACCTTCCAGCTACGACTTCTTCCCCCACAACCACCATTTTTCAGTCAACTCCTGCGTCGACGGAAGATGGTTTCATTTTCTCCACAACGGAGCTTGTTCTCCAGACTGCGGGTATGAAAAGCAGAGCGCTCTGAGCGCCGTAGTGCCTGGGCATGGGGAGGCTGGTGTCAAAAGGGCAGGAAAACACACCTGAGTATGGAGCACAACGGATACCCCTGCGCACAGGACGTGATCTTGTTGGGACACATTGTGCGACCATAAATTGTGCCCCTGGGAAATGCAGGCACAGTGAATGATGCCCGCTCCTGACTGTGTTTAGATACCTACCCATAAGAACTGTCGGTAAAGTGAGTTACCATAGTTAGGTACCTGAATAGCCTAAATGGCGCCTACGAATATTCACCCACATTTAGCTAGTGGCTCATCCCAGCACCCACAGATCGGAACAAACTAACGCTCTTTTACTGCATGTTATTTTACTCTGTTTCTATGACGACAGACTCCCCGATGACCGATTTGATCTCGGAGGGGACTGCGGAGGTCGGTACGGCTTTCATCCCAGAAGATGCCCTCAGGACAGGTACGTGTGGTAATACTACGGGGGCAGCAGACACTTGACCGCTGGGTTGAGGGTTCTGAGAGGGGTTCTGGGGAAGGTGCAAGTGAACAGGAGTTTGCTAGAGATTCATTCGCGTCTCATCGCCCGGCCAGCCCCACTGGCAGGTTTGGCTCAGGAAAGGCAAAGGACTACATGGGAGGAGTTTGCCCACAGAGTCGTCCCACGCAGATCCTAGGACTAAGCTGAGCGTGTGACCCTCCTCATCCTTTCAGCCTCCTCCCGAAAAGCTGGCTGTTCCCCAATGTGTCTCAAAGACTCACTGAGAGTGGTTTAACCATCTGGACACCATCTGCATCACCTGTCCTTGTTGGATGCTGCCTCGGATCCCAGGGCTCCAGCTGATCACTTAGCATGAGGGGCGAATCCACATCGTGATCACGAAGTGGCTGAAGGCCAATAAGCACGTTCGTTTCACCTGGGCAGTAATTAAACAGCTACGTCTCTGTACTGAACTCCGACACCTCCGCTTTATACGTAGGCCGAGGGAGTTCAGCACACAGGACTATCCTGCAAGCTGGCAATTTTGGTGATGGATCAAAGTGCTAGAGACTGGAGGCCCCAGGCAGACATAGGCTGGGTGGCACAGCGCTTCATGCCCGAGCCCGGGAAGGCAGGGGAACCCCTGGAAGATTGGTTCTCTGGGACTTTGGACGACAGGATGAACCTCTCTAGTCCAGCACTCTCTGGTCCGGCAACATCCGTGCTCTGGCATGATTTTTGTCAGCCCGATGTCCTATTATCATGGGTGTGGCCAAGTTTCCTGCAGTCCCATGAAATTTGTTGACAGCCCCCAGTCCTGGCTCTGTGTTCTGTGCTGTTCTTTAGCTCTAATTTATCCCAAAATGTCTTCCCAGGGCCCAGTAAGCAGTGGCAATGCTGGCAAAGCTGCTGGACAATGTTGACCTCCCGTGGTTTGGCAAATTCTCTTGTTCTGCCCTGGTCAGGTCCCCAAAGTGCCAAACTAGAGAATTTCAGCCTCTGGTGCATTTTGCGACTCTGTGAGTGGCTTGAGCTAGCCACTTCTCTGCTGACAGGCTGAGTGACGAGCAGAGACAGATGGCCTGCATGGTTTGCAAACCGCTGCGACATCACACTCTGACCCATCAGGCAGTCTTGACGTGATGCTTGATGTGCCATTACGCTTCTAGCATCCCATTGGAACTTGCAGGCCAGTTGCTAACTACCGTAGGGTCTCTAATACACATCAGGCTGGACATTTACCCACTTCACTAACTGGACCATGCCCCGTTGGTTCCTGACTCCTGCCCTTGTCCAAGGCTGAGAGTCTATCAAACATCAGTTCAAAGGTGGCAGCTGCACGCTTAGCCACCACACAAGGGACTGAGCCAGGGACCTCCAGATCTAGACATGCCCTGCTGTGGCCTGAGATACAGCGCGAAGCCTTTGTCAGACTAGATGGCTTGACACCCAAAGGGCAACTTGGACTACACACTCCCCTGTGGGTTTCATAGGTTCCCAGAGCATCTCATCCAAAGCCCATTCAAGTCACAAGAAAACCACCCACTGAAACATTTTGTTTACGCTAAATTATGAAGCATTTATTTTTTACTTTGACCCTTTACAATTGTTTTCAGCCTAAGTTGTCTACATTGCAAAATGAAAAGGTATTGGATAGGAAAATTGGAATTTTTCATAAGCAAAATAAAATTAAAATGTTTCTTTTTGACTTTTCTTAAATGTGTTTTTTTTCTCGATGGCAGTGTTTGGCTGGTTGGTTTTGAGCTAGGAAATTCATCAAACAATCCAGTTTCATAAACAGTCGTGCTCTTTGTTTTTACAACCAAAAACTGTAACAAATTTCTCAGCTGCCTCTCGTCATGGGGATGGACTGGTGAAGTCCTTTTCAACTGCACCTGATGGAGATTTCATTTAAAAAGGGCAACTCCACTGACGTCAATGGAGTGACAGCTGTTCACACCAGATTAACTTTGACCTCACTGTTTTAGCACCAGCTGGTCATTCAGTGAATTTACTTTTGGTTTGGTTTGGTTTGTTTGCATGACCAGCAAAAGACAGCAGCACAATCTGGGCTGAGGGCTGGTCATGCATTTTCTCTCACTTTTTTTATTGCTAGAAAGTTGGGGGTGAATTTAACTAAACAAAATTATACCCAAAAAGTGTCTGGTTTCCTTGAAAAAGAAATGATTTTTCATAAAAGGGAAAAAGCCTGAAAACCCCAAAATATTTTGTAGATGTTGGCTGTAAATTCTCAGGTTTTGGATTGTTCCATTTTTTGACAAAAATTCAACCTTGGCCATAGTGGAAAAAAGTTTTCCAACAAGCTGCTTTTGGGACTCCTTTCTTATGTGATTAACTGGCCTTTTAAAGTGCCTGTTCAGAAGCCTCTTCTCAGAGTTTTGTCAAATAGCTTGGTTAAACTTAGCCATGGTTTGACTTTGCTTCACTCAAGCCCTGTTGTTCTTATCCAGCTTCTCTTTATTTCGTTTCAGACACCACAACTTCTGCAACGACAACCACCACTGCCCCGCCCCTGGCAATCACGGCTGCCCTCCCAGAACCCACTACTGCACCCGTTACACCCACTTCTGACCTCCCAGCAACGACTCCTTCCCCAACAACCACCATTTTTCAGTCAAATCCTGCATCCACGGAAGATGGTTTCATTTTCTCCACAACGGAGCTTGTTCTCCAGACTGCGGGTATGAAAAGCAGAGCGCTCTGAGCGCAGAAGTGGCTGGGCACGGGGAGGCTGGTGTCAAAAGGGCAGGAAAACACACCTGAGTATGGAGCACAACGGATACCCCTGAGCACAGGACATGATCTTGTTGGGACACTTTGTGCGGCCATAAATTGTGCCCTTTGGGAAATGCAGGCACAGTGAATGATGCCCGCTCCTGACTGTGTTTAGATGCCCACCCATCAGAACTGTCGGTGAAGTGAGTTACTGTAGTTAGGTACTTGAATAGCCTAAATGGCGCCTACGAATATTCACCCACATTTAGCTAGTGGCTCATCCCAGCACCCACAGATCGGAACAAACTAACGCTCTTTTACTGCATGTTATTTTACTCTGTTTCTATGACGACAGACTCCCCGATGACCGATTTGATCTCGGAGGGGACTGCGGAGGTCGGTACGGCTTTCATCCCAGAAGATGCCCTCAGGACAGGTACGTGTGGTAATACTACGGGAGCAGCAGACACTTGACCGCTGGGTTGAGGGTTCTGAGAGGGGTTCTGGGGAAGGTGCAAGTGAACAGGAGTTTGCTAGAGATTCATTCGCGTCTCATCGCCTGGCTGGCCCCACTGGCAGGCTTGGCTCAGGAAAGGCGAAGGACTAGAGCAGCAGTAGGCATTAATTCAAAGGTGGCAGCTGCATGTTCAGCCATGAGGGCCTGAGCCAGGGACTTCCAGATCTAAAGCATGCACTGCTGTGGCCTGAGATACAGAGCCAAGCCTTTGTCAGGGCAGATGGGTTGGCACCCAATGGGCAACCTGGACCACACACTCACTTGTGGGTTATGCAGGTTCACAGAGCATCTCGTCCAAAGCCCTTCAAGTCACAAGAAAACCACCCAGTGAAACTGGGTCTTTCCCCGAACGTCATCTGCACAGCAGGGTGTAGTCAACACTGCTTGGCACCAGTCCCTTCCCTGCTAAATTATTTAACCGCTTGCAACTATGGAAAGCAGCAGAGAATTGCAAGGGCCCTCTGAAAATGCCACCTCCAGTCCTTTGTCAAGGTGGAAATAATCAAGATGCAAAATAGACTTTTTGTCTTGTAATTGAATGAGCTAGACCATGTTATGCTGGACCATGTGGTGTGCTTCCCTCAGCCTGGCCAATCGATGCAAGCTTCTGCTGCTCCTTTTATTTGCATATCAGCTCATTACTTTCTCATGAGCCGCCATCAACTCTTCTCTCTACTTCATCTAATAATCCAGAAGCTGCGATTTCACCCTACAATGCCATCGTTTTGCAGTTAAGCTGATTTGAAACACACAGTGAAAGAAACTTCCAACACGGTTTATTCCTCTCCACAAAAGAGTTCAAAGTCACAAGCTGCCACAAAGGCCACATTAGAAGAAGCACTTTAAAGACTAACAAGATGGTTTATTAGGTGACGAGCTTTGAGGAAGTGGGTCTGGCCCACGAAAGCTCATCACCTAAAGAAACCATCTTGTTAGTCTTTAAAGTGCTACATAGTCCTGTGTTTTATTTCAGCTAGACTAGACTAACACGGCTACACTTCTATTACATTAGAAGAATGACACAGAGACACAACTTACATTAGAAGAATGACACAGAGACACGACCCTTGTTTCCCCTCCCCCTTTTTCCGGAAAAGGGGCCAGTGTAGACGTAACCCCCTTGTTTCCCCACCGCCCTTCCCCCCAGTATAACTAGCTCACTTGTGGAAATGTCAGCAAAGAAGGGCTTAAAGAGGAAACCCAGACTTCATGCATTGGAGTCATTCCTTTCACTTCGGGAAAGCCACAGCTGAGGTCTTCCGCTAACGCCTCGCCGTCTCCCTCGGCCCCAAGAGCAAAAGATTTGCACGGTTCTCTTGGTTCATGCGGTCTTGTGGGCACGTTGCCTTTCCTGGTTTTTTTCAGACACAGCTGATACGTGAAGAGAACACGGGCGTTGTGAAAATGCTGTCTTACTTTTTGAGGGACCCATTTATTCCAGTCTAGCAGCTCCCTCAGATAAGATTCATTCATGTCTCCCAGCCTGTTGGGCCCACGGGCAGGTTTTGCTCAGGAAAGGCGGCCGATTAAAGCAGCAGGAGGCGTTGCAAATGAGGATCGGGTAGCAACGAGTAGAGCGCTCTGGGAGAAACGTACCCACAGCGTTGTCCCACACAGTTCCTAGGACTCATCTGAGCTTTCAACCCTTCATCCTTTCAACATCCTAAGAGAAAGCAAAATCCGGGAGGTGTGGTCTGCTCAGTCTTTGGTGGTAGGCTCTTCAGGGATCAGAGGTAGCTGGGTGAGGGGATGAGGTGTTTGAATCTAACTCAGGTCTGAATGTTTGCGGCCAGACTGAAATCTAGGTCTGGCTCCTTCTTCAGATGCATGTGACGAAGTGGGTCTTTGCCCGCAAAAGCTTATGCTCCAAAAAATCTGTTAGTCTATAAGGTGCCACAGGACTTCACGTTGTTCTTCAGATCCAATTTGAGATCAGCTTAGAAAAGAGGAGACAAAGGGGAGAATATGATAGATGTCTATAAAATCCTGACTGATGTGGAAAAAATGAATAAGGAAAAGTTATTTACTTATTCCTACAATATAAGAACTAGGGGTCATCACATGAAATTAATAGGCAGCAGGTTTAAAACAAACAAAAGGAAAGTTTTCTTCACACAGCGCACAGTCAACCTGTGGAACTCCTTGCCAGAAGATGCGGTGAAGGCTAGAACTTTGACAGGGTTCAAAAAAGAGCTAGATAGATTCATGGAGGTTAGGTCCATCAATGGCTATTAGCCAAGCTGGGTAGGAATGGTATCCCTAACCTCTGTTTCTCTGAAAGTGGGAGACAGGGGAGGATCACGTGAGGATTATCTGTTGTGATACCTCCCTCTGGGGCATCTGGTATTGGCCACGGATACTGGGCTAGGTGGCCCTTTGGTCTGACCCAGCATGGCGGTTCTTATGTTCTTAATTTTGCACTTTGGACCCAGGCCTGCGTACCATACCTTCAGCCCTGGGGCATCGCTCTGCCGGGGCATTTCTGTTTCTCTGAAAGTGGGAGACGGGGAGGATCACGTGAGGATTGGACCCAGGCCTATGTACCATATTTTCAGTCCCGGGGCATCACTGCAGTAAAAAAGTCATTTTTAAGCTGAGAGATGAAGCATTTATTAGGTTGCTTTGAGGAGCCCCAAATGCAGCACCTAATGTGGTCAGAGCCCGTGCAAAACACGTATGAAAATGCTTACTCCATGAGTGTCACCTGCATTCCAAAAGGCCCCAGCTCACTGATGGAGTGGAAAACCACAGCAAAATGTTGCAGCTAAAACTCCAGGGTCAACTCATTCGGTGTCTATCTGCACTGCTAATGAAAAAAAAAACCGACGGCGCCAAGGGTCAGCACCCACGCCAAGTCTATTTTTATCCCTTCTGCCTGATCCCTGTGCACCCAAGTCCGTTGACCTACACGCTGAGCCTCGGTGCCGGGGGTCTCGTAATGCAGCGCAGACATCCACTTCTGCATTCCCGGGCTGAGCGAGGCAGCGACAAAACAGATGAAATCACGTGTTACCGTCCTTCCTCTTCTGAGTTCCTGCATTCCCAGGCAGCGTCCCCTCAAGGGACTGCTTCTAGCCTCTCTTCTGTATAGGCTTCGTTTCTGTGACTGCCATGTATTCTGTCCAAATGTCTACTGCAGGGATGGGGACCCTAAGGCCCCGGGACCAGATGTGGCCCCTGGCTTGCCTGGATCTGGCCCCCCAAGACCCAGGACTCCCCCTGCAGCATTGGGGAGCCCATCCTGGTGCTCCATCCCCCACACTTCCTGTCCCACTGTGGGGTGAGAGCACATCAAATCTACTAGCCTTGGTCCCCCTAGGCCAGGCATGTCCAAAGTCCGGCCCGCGGGCCAATTGCGGCTCGTGTTCCGATTTAATACGGCCCCACAGGTAATTTGGCAATTTCTATCTTTTAAGGCCCCCAACAAATCCATATGTATTGAGATGAATACATTGTAAAATCTCAGTTAATGTCAGTTGGTCTAAATCAGTTATAAATATATTTGGACACAACATGTATACTTGGTGTTATGTTCCTGTTCATATTTTTTGAACTTAAAAGTTGACAGACAACCTTTATTACCAATAATATGTAATGTACTTTACAATGTTCCTGACATATATTTCAGCTTCCTGGATTTTTTTTTCATCTGGCCTTCAGATATGAAAGGCAGAGTGATTTAACACCTGTTTAGATTTGTCATCCATGTGACGAAATGAAAAGTATGCTGTTTGCAATAAACTTTGCATAAAATAGTTAATTTGCATTTAATTTTAATGGTTCAAAGAATGTCAGGCAAAATGGTCGGCCCTCACGCATGTTCACTTCATCAAATCTGGCCCTCTTTGAAAAAAGTTTGGACTCCCCTGCCCTAGGCTCTGTTGTGCCATGGGAATGTGGGGAGTTTTTCTCCTTCTCAGGCAGGGGCCACGTCAGGGAGGGTCTGATTTTTCTGTTTTGCTTCCCACTTGTGCGTGTTCCCCGACTGATTTTTCTGTGAGTCAGCAGCCTCCGACCCAAAAAGGGTTCCGCACCCCGGCCTCCTGCGGGGTCCGACGGTGGTCAGACTTCCACAGACAGTCCATTTGCTACAAGGAGAGTGAATGTTACCGTTTGCAAATATTCCATGTTCGCATGCCAGTGCCTTCTGGGGAATGACCAAATTGTCCTGCAAGGTGGCTGGACTGGATCTGGGTGCAATGTGCTCTCAGAGGATCCGGGCCAGGGAAGAATACATTGTGGAAACCTGACCGGATGGTCTGTGGACCGTGTGGTCCAGTGTAGCCCAGGGATGCAATGGTTCTGACTGCAGCAGGCTCTCAGTGCAGCTCAGCTTATTTCAGCCAAGTCCTGTATTGTGAAAACTTGGGGTGGCCTCCGGAGTTCTGGGACTCGGTTAAACATTTCTGTTTCTTTTAATCTCAGGGACTGTTCCCGTGGGGACATTCCAGGCCCCTCCTGAGGCGAGTGACGCGAATGTGAATTCTTACGCTGCGTTTTCCTCCACGCCTTCAGGAGACTTGGCGAACGAGGGACGTGGCCAAGGTCTGGCGAGTATCATTCATTTGTATAGTTGCGGTAGCCCCCTGGGTGTGTAAGGCTTCCTGGAGGAGAGTGGAGCTGTCGGGGGAGATGAATTAAGTGGGGCAGACAAGAAAGGAAGCTGAGAAGTTCCCTTTTTGCAGCGTGTCCTGCACAAGCGATAGAGACCAGAGAGTTAAGGATGGAGAGCGCAATGTGACCCATGAAATTCCAATCTTTCTGCTGCCTTTAGGGAAAGCACAGGGCTTTATTCCCCAGAGGGCGGCCAGCGGTGCGGGCAGGAGATCTAATACACGCTCCTGCCCTGTCCCATCTGCTGGCTGAGCAGCTCATCCCTGCCCTCTGCAGGCGGATGTGCGGAGGAAAGCTCGGTTCTGCAGGTGGCAGCCGAGGGGCTCAGAGGCACATGATTCTGCCTGTGTCGTGGTGGCAGTTTTAAACCCACAAGCTGTTCAGGTAGGCCAGGGGCTTGATTGCACTGACGTCAGCGGTAACCCCAGCCCCCCGGGACTCCAGCCAAGCATGGGGGTGCAGTTACAGCCTGTAGGAAGGAGAAAGGGGGCAGACTAAGCGGTGACTGTTGGTTGTGGTACTCACCAGGAGCCCTCCATCTCAGGGACTCTCCTCCCCCTCATGCCAAAGGCTAAGAGTTCTTTCCATTCCCTCCTCTCCGATATCAGAATCCTCCATCCTCCTTCCCAGGCCAAAGGCTCCGAGTGCCCCCACTCTCCTGTATGCCACCTGCCAGGGGCTCTGTGTGCCCCCATTATGCCCTCCCACCATACCACTGTAACCTGCCCCCTCCTGGGCTCCTTCCCCAACCTTCTTTCATTTGTTTTTTTCGGAGTTCAGTGCAAGCACTCGGCCACTGAAGCAATCTCTTATTTCACGCGTCTATTCCTCAAGGCAAAACTCGACTCAGGCGTAACTATGCAGCTGCAGAAAGTGCCCAATATTTAGGGACTCACCCTGACACAGACAATTTGCATCTCTCTGGGTTCGTGAACACCCTCGGCACCTGATCTTTGAATTGTCTGGTTTGTGTCATGAGACTGGGATATTTTTGTTAGACGTCCGTTTTATTTCAGAGACCACATTTGTTTCCATTTGCTAGTCTCACGTATGAGGGAGTGATTAAATATGCACCTATTTCTTGTATACCCCCACCCAAACAGATTGAGTTATGGGGAGGGAGAACATCATAGAAATAAAATCCCAGGATCCAAACCATATTCATGGCTACAACTGGTATTTTTCATGTAGCAGGACTGCTGGAACTGAGGCTTGTGATATTCTGTCTCCAAGGGTCATAAGTCTCCTTATGGGTCTCATTTATGTTAGCCTGTCCTGGGTTAATTGGTCCTTTGCTGAAGGCAAAACTCAGACCAGCTTTCTTTGAGCAGCCTCTTTCGTATAGCTCAGAAGGAATTGATGCCAGAAATCAGGTGATTGATGGTTTTTTATCTGGATGGGAACCCAGCATGGATGGGTCTGATCCAGTCCAGGAGGAAATGTAGATAGTGTTGCTGTGTTGAGTACATTA